TTAAGTCGCACTCACCTGACAAGAGATTTGAATGTCATTATCTGTGTCATTTCCAGTTCCTCCGCCAATGAACAGACTAAAATCTCTCTGTTATTAGTTCCAGATCTCTTTTTGATTATGAACTCTTTGCACAAAGAAGTTCTGATAAAAGGAAACATGGAGGAAAAAATGGTTCAGATTTATTGGTAAGTCATGGTTTATAAATATGAGCCATTGTCTTAGGTTCTATTCTGGAGGTAGGAGAAGAGGTAAGGAGAATATGAATGGAGTACATAGATAGACAGATCTTGTAAGGCTGCAAGGCTAAGTCACTTTGTGCTGTGATTAGAGAAACTGATCACCAACACATTATCTCTTGAAAATGTATGAATGAATTTGCATCTTCACTTAATGTCTCTTATTCATAAAAACTGAATTCAGGTCCTTTTCATAAATTCACTCATTTTTGCAGCAAATTATTTTCTGTACTCTACTTGATTGGCACATAAAATTTCTCACATGAAAATGTAAGTTATTCTATCATTTTCATTGATCGTGCAAAAGTAGACTCATCTGCAGATTTTTTGGCTTCTGGAGGTCCATATCTCCTTTCTTTTTTTAAAATTTTTTTTTTTTTTAATAGAGGCATGTTTTATTTATTTATTTATTTGTTTGTTTTGTTTATACATGCACTGGGTACAGTCAGAAGCGCGGGAGGGTGAGAGAATTCACCAGAGCCAGAGCGGGGAGCAGAGCAGGCAGAAGGACCGAAGTGCACTGCTGAGGGGAGCAGCGGGCGGCAGGAGAGGTCTGCGCGCCATGTGGGACCCTCCTCCGGTGGCCGGGCAGCAGTCGAGGATCGAACCGGCGCCGCAGAGGCTGCAGGCAGCTTCGCAACCCAGCGCTCAACCGCTGCGCCACCGGGGAGGCCCCCATATCTCCTTTCTGATTAGACTTCATGGTAGGCACTGAAGCACCAATGCAAGAAACAGAGTCAGGAAAACAGAGTTAACACACACCTTCTTTGGTCCAAGTTTTCTTCTCAGATGTTCATTTACATCTAGTCAGTCCTGGCTCTAGCCAATCAGGCGCATAATAATCACCCTCATAATCCACAACACTGGAGATCTCCTGGCTATATCTCACAACTGGGACTAAGGGATAAACCACTGAAATACATATTATTGTCACCATCACGTCCTCTCTTTACTATCACATATTTGAAAGTCAGTGTGACTTGGGGATGGGAAGAGAATTTCCCTTGTTCTCATCCCCGTAACTCCTGCAGTCCTGAGGTAGTTTCCCAGTGGGGGATTCTTTTTCTAGTGCTCAAAGCCTTCACAAAATGTTTTTTTTTTTTCCTGGGGAAAAAGATGTGTTTGGGGCAGCAAAGAATGTGTACTGGCTCTTCTTTAGGGCATTATAATATTCCTATTTCTATCACCAGCCACATAAGTTATTACACATTCCCACTTCCAGACTGATTAATAACACTGAGTTTAGAGTCCGAGCAAAATTTCAGCATTGGTTTCATTACCTAGCAGTTGTGTAATACTGCACAGAGCACTTACCTAACATGCACAGGCATTCCTTCTCCTGTAGAGTGGGGATAGTGATAATCAGGCCTACTTTACTGAAATGTCTTACGGCAATTCAAATGATATTGCATATGAAGGATTTGGACATGGTTATTCTCCACAAGCATTAGCTGTTATTAAATTATATCACATAGTCTTAATCATGTTTACTCAGTTATGTTGCTCACATATTTTCCTCCCTGGGCACTCGCAAAGACATTTATTCATTCTCTGTCCTCGACTCACATTTTCAGGTGTAATCACGTTTTCAGGTGTAATCATAGCTCCAATATCCTTGAGCTCAGGATTATAGTGTCTTTGAAAACCTCTGAGTTACACATCATACAGAACCTTCCTATTTTCTCATGAACACATGGCTTTCTTACATCCAAGCACATTCTACTACTTCACATTCTCTTCCATTTCCTTTGACTCAAATATACTGCACAATAGGCTCTATTTTGAAGCGCCAGGACATGTGGAATTTCCTTTTTCTACTTACCTGTCCTTCAAAACTAAGAGCATTAAACTTTGAGATCTTGTGACCATTTGTGAACAGAAATATTTTCATTGTACCAGTCACCATTTGCCATCCTTTGTTTATTCTCAAAGATAATACAGACTCTAACAGACTTCTAGAATAGGAAGCATATCCTTTGTGAGAAGTTCCATCACCCAAAAGGCCTCACACCTCTCCTGAATTCCAGAATTTCTCAAATTTAGAAAGGATAGAGTGTGCCCTGAATGTTCCATTTTTAATCGCTTTTCTTGACATTCTTTTTCTTAAACAGCAAAACAGTGCCTACTCTCAACCAGTCTCTTGGTAGCTTCAGATACTCACCAAGAGCCAGTTGTTCTCTCCTGAAAATGGAAATCAATTTGATCTTTGCACTGACTGTGGGAAAGCACCCAGATCTGCAGTTCCACACATCCTAGAGATGTATGTCTGATGTCTGCTTAGGTAGGTATTGCAGAAGCAATACAAGAAGACAGAAACAGAGGCCAGAGAATATATTTAACACACCTACATTTGGTCCAAGTCTTCTTCCCTGGAGGCTCACTTATGTCTGGTCTGCCTGGCTCAAAGGAGACTGTGTGCGCTGCCAAGACTATGGCCAGGGGACACGGACAGGGCAGATGTACTTCTAGCCATTTATCAACTCCTTGTATACCTGGACTATGTCTAACTATACCTGTTCATATGATATGATGCTTTTATTCCTTCTTGAAAGGCATGCAATACTAAATTACTCAAAAACAAGTATAAGTAAACTAAGTGCATTATTAAGGTGAAGATATTAATTTTTTCATTTTTATTTATTTATCTTACATTTTAAGCCTGTTAAAATAAAAAAGGCACTATGCTTTGTATTTTTTGGCATAAAAATATGTAGATTATGACCTCTACCTTGTGGTATCCCAGAGGAATGGAAGTAAAATAATAAGTACACACTAACTTAGGAGCCTAGAAAATGTTTCATGAAACCTCAGTCTGTCCCAGTCTCATTGAAAGACTATAGTATAAAGTAGCTGTAACTAGCATGTAGGCAAGTAAATTTGGTTCATCAGTCCAAATATCTGGTTTTTGCCTACATACAATATATTTTTTAAAGAAAATAGTTATTATATATTTATGTTATATTTATATCCATTTAAATTTTTTCTTAATTTTTAAATTTTTTTATTTTTAGAACCATATAATCTTTCTGGAGTCTGTCTGTCTGTCTGTCTCCTGCTCTTTCTGTCTAACTCTGCTACTGTCTTTTATTTCCCTTTGTCTCTTTTCCTTACCCATACTCATGAGCTAAGAGCCCCCACAGGGTTTATCATTGTTCATTGATTTTTTAATGTGTTTTATATTATCAAATCGTTGGTTATATAAATGTCCGGTATTTGCTTTGTTGTTTATTTTGTTGACTATGATATCATTACAGGCTAGCACTGTGCTTGGCAAGAAACTGGAGAATAAAAAATATCAAATTAGTGACTGAGTTAATAAAGTTAAGCAAAATAAGAAGGAATTTATTGCAATTATTGAGTACATTACACTCTCAAATCTCTTCGGAATGGATGCTCTGTTTTGGGGGATCAATAAAGACAGGATTGAGTTGGTGTAGGTGGAGAAGAGAGCAGATATTAATGAACTTCAGATACTAGAATGATTAAAAAGTGCAAAGATAAATGGGATGGCTAGGTTCTATTTAATTCAATCGACAATTCGTAAGTTGCAGGGTAACATTATAAGTAGAGTAACATATTATTAAAGGAATGCTGAATAGCAGAGGGTAGCTTAGAGAAAAAATGGGAGGCCAATTTAAGCTCCTGCTTAAAATAAACAGGGGTGGGTAGCTCTTTCTAATAATTACTTTCATATAATTGATATTTTTTACAGTACTTTCAGTCCAATCAATTTTATAGAATTCCCCCTCGTATACTATAATTCCTTATCTCATCAGCAGGTTCCTCAAGATATCTAAAAACCCCATTACTTTTAGAAAAGTTTGGGCAAGCACAAACACTCACCTCCATTACTGGAACAATTATCATTAATCATCATATCAATGTCATACTGGCTACATCCCTTGCTCCTTGCAGAATCCATACTTGTTAATTTTTTTTTTTTTTTTTTTTTTTTTTATAGAGGCATGCTTTATTTATTTGTTTGTTTTGTTTATACATGCACTGGGTACAGTCAGAAGCGCGGGAGGGTGAGAGAATTCACCAGAGTCAGAGCGGGGAGCAGAGCAGGCAGAAGGACCGAAGTACACTGCTGAGGGGAGCAGCGGGCGGCAGGAGAGGTCTGCGCGCCATGTGGGACCCTCCTCCGGTGGCCGGGGAGCAGCCGGGGATCGAACTGGCGCCGCAGAGGCCGCGGGCAGCTTCGCAACCCAGCGCTCAACCGCTGCGCCACCGGGGAGGCCCCATACTTGTTAATTAATATGTCCTTAGAATACTATCATAATCTATTAGATATAAAGAAATCTAAAAGCATGGATTATAGAGCTAGTCTCATCAGGTTCAAATTACAGCTATGATACTTATTAAATGTGTAATCTTACACAATTTTTTAATCTGTGTGTGTGTGCATGAAATTTTGATCTGAGAAATCAGGTAAATAATCATAATGAACCCATGGTAGCATGATAAGAGTAAACTATTTAATTACATACACTGAACATGAGCAAACGGCATGTTTGATTAATATTTGTCATTACAAAATAATTATTAAATATATAAAAGTATTGACTTATTTTTAAAATAAATCAAGATTAAAGCAACAATGTGTCTTGTTTCTATTTTGATTTTTCCTCTCTTTCATGCTGTCTTGTCTTTGAGAATCTGTCTATAGAGAAATGCTAAGATAGTCATGCTCAGTGTCATGGGAATGGCTTCCTTGCTGGACACGGTCTCTCCTCCAGGCAGCAGGACTCAGTTAAGCAGAAGTCACTTTTGAACTCCCATGGTCTTCTTAATAGCATTCTTGACTTCCTGGTTCCTCAGGCAGTAGATGAATGGATTGAGCATGGGTGTGAGGACCGCATACACAGCCGAGATTAGTTTGTTGGAATTAAAGGATGCAATGGCTCTGGGACGAACATACATAAAAATCATGGCTGTGTAATAAATGATAACTACAGTGAGGTGAGAGGCACAGGTGGAGAAGGCCTTCTTTCTTCCCTGGGTGGATGGTATACGCAGAATGGTGGAGACAATGTAGACGTAGGAGAGGATGGTGGTGATGAGTGGGAAGACAAGAATGACAATAGCCAAGGCAAAGTCCACTAACTCAGCTGTAGACATATCTTTGCAGGCCAGTTTGAGAATGGGTGAGATGTCACAAAAAAAGTGGTTCATGACATTGGAGCCACAGAAGGCAACATGAGAAATGAAATAGACCTTGATGACAGAGATCATAAAACCACTCATATAGGAGAAAACCATCAGTTGCACACAATGACCTGTGGTCATGATGACTGGATATTGAAGAGGGTGGCAGATGGCCACATAACGGTCATAGGCCATGGCTGCCAGAAGCACACACTCTGTACCAGCCAGCGAAATAAAGAAGTAGAGCTGGGTCATGCAACCTGTAAAAGAGATGTGTCGTCTCTGCAGGAGAAAACCATCCAACATCTTGGGGACTGTAACAGACACATACCAGACCTCCAAGAAGGACAAGCTACACAGGAAATAGTACATGGGTTTATGAAGGGAGTTAGTGATCCAAACAGTTAGCATGATGACCAGATTCTCTGCTAACACCAACAGGTAGGCGATAAGAAACAGAAAGAAAAATAGGATCTGTAGCCACGGGGCTGTAGGGAAGCCTAGTAGGATGAATTCACTGATCAGAGTGATGTTTTCCTCCGACATGACAAAGAGCAGTGACAGGTACTGAAGTCTTCTAGGACAGCACCACAAATAATGAAGATGACTGTGGTATTAGACAAGAGACCAACCTAAGAAACCAAATCGGTCTTCCCTGTGAATGAAACTAAAAAATATTTTCTGTTAATACAGTATAGTCTTCAAACGTGAAGTATACATTTCCCTCCAAGTTTATTTGTTAACTTTTTTCTGAAAGTCTCCCAGATCACAGTGTACTCCCATTCTCAAGTCTCTCTCACCTGGTGAAAGATTTGAATGTCACTCTTTGTGTCATTTCCAGTTCCTCTGCCAATGAACGGAGCATAAGTCTCTCTTGTTGGTTCCAGGTGTCTGTTTAATTAGGAATTCATTGCACAAAGAAGTCCTGATGAAAGGAAACATGGAGGATAAAATGGTTCAGAAAAAGTTCCGAAAGTCGAATATAACCCCATTGCTGTAGTCCTTTGATCCATCGCAGTTTCTTCAAAATAGGGTCTGTGAATACTAAAATAGGTACTAACTCTTGGGATATTCCTTAATGATTTCTAGTTGCTTTTAGATAAAAATGAAGACATATTCATTACCACACAAAGAAGGCACATCTTTCTGGATCCCTATTTCTCTCACATCACCTCCTATGAAATTTAAACAGTATTCCATGCTTGACACACGCTCTACTTGTGTTAGCTCCTGGGCACACTCTGGTCTCTCTCACAGTCTGAATAACTTTCCACTTCCCATTATGCCATTGCCCAGGCTTTACCTGCTGATTCAATATTCATGACCCCACGCAGGAGACATCCTACCAAAGCTGCTTTAGGTGCCTCAACAGCGGTAGTTCCTAGTGCACCTACTCTTCAAGCATTAAGATTTCCCCCCTGATTCTTTCTCTTCCAAACTCAAGAATCTGTCCTTCATGACTATGAACTCAATGTTTGGGACCTGAATAAAATGTGAATATATATTAACAAATGAATGAAGGAATTCCTTGGAGTTCTGGGGTCCACAAGAAATAAATCAGGGGCAAAGTACTGTGATCTAAAAGTGTCTGTCTTTGCAGGAACACCTGTCTGTCTATGATTACAAACCATCAGCCTACAGGATACTTTATGGTAACAAACGCACAGGGTTTGATAACACTGGATACGATCCCTGGCCTCAGATCTCTTAGTATGTCATGGTTTATAAATATGAGCCATTTTCTTAGGTTCTATTCCGGAGGTAGGAGGAGAGGTAAGGAACATATGAATATAGTACATAGATAGATAGGTCTTGTAAGGCAGCAAAGCTGAATTATTTCTGCTCTAGCCCTGTCACTTTATGCTGTGATTAGGGAAACAGATCACCAACACATTATCTCTTGTGCTGCAGGAGGCCTTGTTGCTCCAGCCAGATAGGATACTGACAAGCAGCTAAGAGAAAGGGCCTCACACCATGGGGCTGAAGATCTGGCATCCCTTTGCTTTTTGTTCTTGGTCATAGAGAGAAAAAAAAAATTTATCAAAAAGTATATTAGGCAATAAATTATATGTATCAGCATATTGTAAGTAAATAGCATGAAAAATTGTTTGTTTAGAAATTAGTTGTTGGGCAGTTTGGCCCACTTGACAATGAAAAATGGTTTGTTGTGCATGCCTGACAAGCAATTCAGCACAACAATTGCAGTAGGTCCTTCTATTTTGTTTTCTCTTGAAGTTTCTTGGGAAAGTTTTTAATATGAAGCTATTTGAGTTAAGGAATTTCTAGGTAAAAAAAGTTCTGATAGCTAAACTGCAGCTGGTCTCCGGCTGAAGGTCATGTGAATAGAATAGTCCTTTGATGCTTAGGCTTTAGCTGATAGAGATGCACTGGCGGTTATTCACTGTTTTAAATAATTGTCTAAATAAAAAAATAAGTAACTTTAATGTTAGGTTTGGTTTATTATCTGTTAACCTTAAAAGCTGCCGTCTAGCTGAGACCTGTAGGGGCCAGTAGTCTATGGAAAACATAATATACTAATTGTTTGTGCTTTACACTTAATAATGTATTTCCTTATTATTATTACTAATAATAAATAAAAAAAGACCTACTGAGTCTCTCGGCAGAAGATACTAGCACCTCACCAAGTGTCAGTGTCTCCTCATTCTACCTCATCCCCTTCCCCCTCAGCCCTTAAGTTTTCAGTTCTTTCGTTTCCGCCTAGGCCGTCTCATCCTTTCAGGAACCCCTGACAAGACGTTTTGTCGGAGGCTGGTCCCCGGCACTCTTGAAAATGCATGAATGAATTTGCATCTTCACTTAATGTCTCTTATTCATAAAAACTGAATTCAGGTCCTTTTCATAAATTTACTCATTTTTGCAGCAAATTATTTTCTGTACTCTACTTGATTGGCACATAAAATTTCTCACATGAAAATGTAAATTATTCTATCATTTTCATTGATCATGCAAAAGTAGACTCATCTGCAGATTTTTTGGCTTCTGGAGGCCCATATCTCCTTTCTGATTAGACTTCATGGTAGGCACTGAAGCACCAATACAAGAAACAGAGTCAGGAAAACAGTTAACACACACCTTCTTTGGTCCAAGTTTTCTTCTCAGATGTTCATTTACATCTAGTCAGTCCTGGCTTTAGCCAATCAGGGGCATAATAATTACCCTCATAATCCACAACATTGGAGATCTCCTGGCTATATCTCACGACTGGGACTAAGGGATAAACCACGGAAATACATATTATTGTCACCATCACGTCCTCTCTTTACTATCACATATTTGAAAGTCAGTGTGACTTGGGGATGGGAAGAGAATTTCCCTTGTTCTCATCCCCATAACTCCTGCAGTCCTGAGGTAGTTTCCCAGTGGGGGATTCTTTTTCTAGTGCTCAAAGCCTTCACAAAATGTTTTTTTTTTTTTTTTTTCCTGGGGAAAAAGATGTGTTTGGGGCAGCAAAGAATATGTACAGCACCAATGTACTGGCTCTTCTTCTTTAGGGCATTATAATATTCCTATTTCTATCACCAGCCACATAAGTTATTACACATTCCCACTTCCAGGCTGATTAATAACACTGAGTTTAGAGTCCGAGCAAAATTTCAGCATTGGTTTCATTACCCAGCAGTTGTGTAATACTGCACAGAGCACTTACCTAACATGCACAGGCATTCCTTCTCCTGTAGAGTGGGGACAGTGATAATCAGGCCTACTTTACTGAAATGTCTTATGACAATTCAAATGATATTCCACATAAAGGATTTGGCCATGGTTATTCTCCACAAGCATTAGCTGTTATTAAATTATGTCATATAGTGCTTAATCATGTTTACTCAATTATGTTACTCACATATTTTCCTCCCTGGGCATTTGCAAAAAGACATTTATTCATTCTCTGTCTTTGACTCACATTTTCAGGTGTAATCTGTGCACTATAGCTCCAATGTCCTTGAGCTCAGGATTATAGCTTTTGTTAGCTTCAGATACTCACCAAGATCCAGTTGTTCCCTCCTGAAAATGGAAATCAGTCTGATATTTGCATTGATCGTGGGAAAGCACCCTGATCTGCAGTTCCACACATCCTAGAGATGTATGTCTGATGTCTGCTTAGGTAGGTATTGCAGGAGCAATACAAGAAGACAGAAACAGAGGCCAGAGAATATATTAACACACCTATCTTTGGTCCAAGTCTTCTTCCCTGGAGGCTCACTTATGTCTGGTCTGCCTGGCTCTAGGGAGACTATGTGCACTGCCAAGACTATGGCCAGGGGACATGGACAGGGAAGGAGCACCTCTAGCCACTTATCTTGAACTATGTTTAGCTTTTCCTGTGAATATTACATATTTGATTCCTTTTACACCTGTATGCTAGGTGAGCAAATACTAAATAACTTAAAAACCAGCAAGAGTAACCTAAGTTAGTTAACATACAAGGTTTCATCACTGAGGTGTTAGTGTAGATTCATGACAGGAAGAGACACTGGAAGTAGAATTATGGGGTGTAATTAGATGATATGATTCTTAAACTAGGTTTCATCAGTTTTTAAGATTTTGACTTCTAAAATGATCTTTATTCTTCAGTTTATTAATTTTTAAAATTGCATGATTATAGTATCTTTGTCAACATATCATTGTTAGATCTGAAAGTAATATGCACATCAAATCAGTTCAAGAACTTTTTATCATAACTACACCAGTGAAAACTAATAAATCTGGGGCATTGGTGCCAAATTCTCTCTCTTTTTATTTTGTGTAGAAGACCTGGTTATAGGCCAGAGCTGGAAGGGTGAGAGGATTCACCAGAGACAGAGTGGGGAGTGAAACAGGCAGATCAACTGAAATACACTGCCTGTTCTCACTGAGGAGAACACCAGGTGAGACAGAGAGGAGAGGTCTGCTGGGCCATGTGGGTTAGTTCCCTGGCTGGGGATTGAACTCAAACCGTAGAGGTGATAGTGCTGAGACTTAACCCCTACACTCCCAGAGAGGCCCCAGGTACAGATTCTTAAGTTAGAATTAGAAATGTTTTTTAAACTCAAAAATAACACATCGTATTGTAAAAAGCTTGGAAAATTGAGAAATGCACAATAAAGAAAATCAATGCCATGTTTTTACTTCCTAGAGTTAAACTGGAAGGAGGTTCATGGAGCAGCTACAGTAGTGACACCCAGAGGGAACAGTCTTGTCCCAGACTACTACCCCACCTCAGGGATGTATTCTTTACAGACAGATGGGAGACAGACTTTTGATGAACTTTATAACTGGTAATTTATAAGTTATTGCAACAACATACTTATAGGTTATGCAACTGTTTTGGCACAAATATATATGTATAGCAATTTTTAATATGCAGGGGTTAGTAAGGAATGCCTGAGATACTTGCTAGTAACCTTTAGCATGTTGTGTGAAGTGGCAGACGCTACAGAAAGATGGGCTGCAACAACAGAATATCTACCTGCAGAATAGTTTCACGTAGGTGCTCTCTACAGGCTGTTGGCTCTTGCATGATTGCAGAGAATTAAATTCCTGAAAAT